GCTTTGTCCAAACAATGTAAACATAAGCCTATAGGCTGTCTTTAAATCTCAGAACACTGACAAGAGAGGGAGGCGGTGCCCTTGCATAATTGGCGGTGCCCTATGCAGCTTGTAATGCGAACATATAGGGCCAGCCGGGACCGACATAGATAAACACATTAAAAGCAGTTGTTAAAATATGATAGACTTTCTTTAATTACACAACTTGAGTGCATTCACCCACCAACTTCTGACCCAAGGTTCTCTAGGAGCCCACCTTTGGCCCAAACTGCCTGAAAATATGCATTTTTTGTTGTTTAGTTGTGTGCTTGTGTGTCTTGATTGTGGCAAAAAGTCGGACTGAGAACAGTCTGCCTGCTGCAGAGCTGAGACAAGCCCTGATCGCTGCCAAGGGGTTCTCAACAATACGCAGTAGCCAGCACCAGCGGCTGTGGCCTGTTTGTGTTGTTGCTGATTCCACCCCCTTAGTACCCCCTTAACAGGGCCCCACCAGTCTATTTGGATATGCACAGGAACAACACCAGGAGTTTTAAAAGTTCACAGCCTGTCTGCTGTATTTCCTTTTATCTCTCTGCTGTCATTATCCACAGCAGATGTGAGAAAAATTCTGCTGAGAGTGAAAATGACTAAAGCTGCTGGGCTGGAAAACCATTTGTTAAAACGTGTCAGTCAGCTAGTTGATGTCATTACTGACATTTTTAACACATCACTGTCATAGGAGTGTTCCCACCTGCATCAAGACAGCCACAATCTTCTCTGTTGCTTAAAAGTCTGCAATATCTAGTCTTAAAAACTACCGCCCTGTGGTACTCACCCACATTCTTTTTATTTCAAATTTTCACAACATGCAGAACACAAACACAATACAAACAATAACTAATCCTTAGTCACCACCCCACACCCTCCCACCCACCAGACCTGCACCGCAAAATCAAAAACAGTAATTTTGCATACTTGTTGACAAGGTGAGTCATGTAAATGAATATAGCAGGGACAGAAAGAACGTAAGACAGTACAAATAAGAGGTTTACATGTATTACAGGGTTACATTTTCTGCTTCCATTTGATCCACAAATGTCAAAAAAGGCTGCCACGTTACATAGAATTTTATAAAAAGACCCTTGTAGAGAGTATCTTATTTTTTCTAGCTTCAAATATTGCATAGTCTCTTTAATCCAGTGGGAGTACGCAGGAGGAAGAGGGTCTTTCCATCTGAACAGAATCAGTCGTCTGGCCAGTAGTGTACTAAAGGCCACCACATTAGACTACTTAAATTCACACCTTGCGGAGTGACACCAAATAGAGCAGTAAGAGGGGATGGATCTATTGGCTGCATTAATATTTTAGAGAGAGTGTTGAAAATTGACTGCCAGAAAGGGGGGAAGTCTTGGACATGTCCAAAACATGGTTAATAGAATTGCAGGAGCTTGCTTACATCTATCGCAAGTAGGGTTTAACTCTGGTCTGATTTTGGACAGCCTAACCTTTGACCAGTGAAGTCGGTGCACTATTTTGAATTGTACAACTGTATGTCTTTGACAAATAGATGATGTGTGGATCCTCCTGATAACTGTTCATTTAAATCCTCTTCCCATTTGTGTTTGAGGTAATCTAAAGATGACAAGTTAAATAGATTGAGAAGGCCATATAGCTTATCTATAACCTGCTTTAAGTTTTTCCCCAGCTTGAAAATAGAGTCTAACAAAGATACTAGGGGATATAAGGGAAAGCATATGGAATGTGAAGCTATAAAATTTCGTAATTGTAGATATCTAAAGAAGTGGCATCTAGGGATATTAAATCTATCTACTAGTTGTTCAAAAGATGCAAAGATATTGTCTACATAAAGATCCTGTAATGAATGTATCCCACTCCTGAACCACACACCAAAGGCTCCATCCGACATTGAGGGAGGAAACATGATTTTTCGTTATCGGAGCAAAAAGGGAGAGGCTGTTGAGAGCAAATGAAATCCTGAACTGATTCCAAATTTTTACAGAATATGCCACAACAGGGTTAAAGGTGTAATGAGAGATGGGCTTTACTAGTGGGAATTCAATGCACAATAAAGCTGGTAAGGAAGAGGGTCCACAGGAAGTATGCTCCAAGGTTAGTCATTTAGGGGTGTTTGAGTTGTCCATATCTGAAATCCAAAAAATCAGTGCTCTAATGTTGTCCATATCTGAAATCCAAAAAATCAGTGCTCTAATGTTGGCTGCCCAATAATAAAACAAAAAATTGGGAAGTGCCATGCCACCCTGAAGACGTGGTCTATATAATATGCATTTCCGTATAGGTGTTTTTTTTTTGTTCCAGATGAAGGTTGATATGAGTTTGTCTATGGAGCTGAAGAAGAATTTGGTCAGAAATATGGTAAGATTCTGAAACAGATAAAGGAACTTAGGCAATACATTCATTTTGACGGTATTGGTCCTTCCACTCAGGGAAAGAGACAACAAATCCCAACGTTTAATGTCCTGTTTCAGATCATCTAACAGGGGCAGAAAATAAGCCTTATATAGGTCTTTGAAGTTATGTGCAACCCAAATTCCCAGATATTTGAACTTTTTTGTGTTTATTTGAAAAGGGGTTGAATTGAAAGAGATGCTTTCTGCAGATATGTTGACTGGCACTAATTCACTTTTTTGAAGATTTTTTTTATAATCTGATATTTTGCCAAACGTTAACAAAGGATCTGAAATATACAGTAACAAATAATCTGCATAAAGCGATAATTTACACTATAATCCCCCTTTATCAATTCTCTTAATATTAATATCCTGTCGAATAGCTAATGCTAGCGGTTCTATAGCAATAACAAATAAGAGCAGGAACATTGGGCAGCCTTGTCTGGTGCCTCTTTGCAGTTTAAAGTGGGGAGAAAGGTTATTATTAGTATATATTGCCACCATTGGAGAGAAGTAGAGAACTTTAATCCAGGACAAATTTTGGTTGAAAAAGATGAAAAAGATCTAAGACATACAGATCATTTGGAAATAAATTCTTTTTTTTGCTCTCGCCTCTGACTTATCTTTTTAATCTATCCTTGGAGACAAACGAAATTCCCCTTATTTGGAAATCTGCCTT